CACACACACACACACACACACACACACACACACACACACACACACATGCGCGTCCCTCAGGACGGTCACCGCCAGCGCACGGTCAACTGGTGCGACAGCACCGGGGGCACGGCCGCCGCCTTTGACTTCACCACCAAGGGCATCCTGCAGGTGCAGTGGGGCCGGCACCGCTTTTTTTTTCGCCGGAGACGTGAATGGTCAGGGGCCAGGCTGCATTTGCTAAAAGGCAAGGGATGGCAGGATGCGTGTGCAAGCGGGGGCCCGGCCGCCGCTGTAGCTTGGCTGCAGAGCAAAGGGTGTCTTGCAGGAGAGCCCCGCTGCAGTCCGCGGCAGTGGCCGTCCACGGGGCGGCGGGGTCGGTCCCGCAGACGCGCTTTTGGGGCTGGCGCGGCTGCCGCTGCGGCGCGCAGCAGAGTTCGCGGCGCGCCGTCAACCCTGAGCGGCCGCGTTTGCGGCTGGTGCCCCGGGGACCGGATTCCCACCCCACCTTGGACGGCGTCACCGCTTCGCGGCGCGATGCGGCCCCCCACGCTGACGTGGCGCCCGGCCCCTCGCTGACGTGGCACCCGCCCGCAGGAGGCCCTGGGTCGCGGGGAGCTCTGGAGGCTGGTGGACGCGCAGGGCAGGCCGCCGGGCCTGCTGGGCATGTGGTGCGCCACGTGGGGGCGCGGTTGAGGGGTGCGGGGGCGGGCAGGGCGACCTAGCGGCGCCGCTTCTCCCCTTTTCTTACATGGGGCCGACACGGCTCGCTGCGCGACCGCACTTGTCGCGCGTAAATCACGACGTGTCGGGCCAAACCCACCTCTTGACTGAGCCCCTCTATCTCCCGCTCGCTCTACCTCTGTCCCTCGGCCTCCCACACACACACACACACACACACACACACACACACACGCGCGCGCACACATTCACACACACACACACACATTTACGCACCCCCCACTTCCAGGGCGTCCCGCGCCATCACGTTCATCGACAACCACGACACCGGCAGCACCCTCAACCACTGGCCATTCCCCAGCCACCACCTGCAGGCAAGCTCCTGGGGTTGCGTCTGCGCTGGCGCCGGCGCGGCGCTCCCGGAGGGGGGGGGGGCCCGCCCAGTTTGCTGATGCCGCCTGGCCTGACCCTTGCGCTGCATCATCAGCACGCACATTTGCAAAATGCACCCTCGACCCCCTGTTGTGACACTTGCGCGCACACACGCACACGCACACGCACACGCACACATATCACAATCACATACACACAATACACTTGTGCACACACATGGAATGTACACACGAACACATGTACACACGCGCCCAACACCACCCCCCCCCCAGGAGGGCTATGCCTACATCCTGCTGCACCCCGGGACGCCCTGCGTCTTCATAGACCACATATCAGGGGACGGCAAGCTGCGGCAGGTGGGGGGGCATGACAAGACGCAGCCAGACTATGTGCCTCCGCAATCCTGCATGCGAGGGGGGGGGAGCGTGCTGACCGTGCGGCGCTGCGGCCACACGCCAGGTGTGAGCATTGGCTTGGCTGTGGAGCGCAGTGTTTGCAGGGGGCAGCGGGGAGAGGCTCTCCCTTTCCCCCGCCTCCCCCGCCCCCCCTCTCACGATGCATCACTGTGTTGCACCCCGACGACCATGCAACCTCCCCTCCTGCGCCCACACACACGTTCTACACACAGACGTGCGCGCACATACATGCACCCACTCTCTCTCCCTCTCTCCCTCTCTCCCTCTCTCTCTTCCTCTCTCTCCCTCTCTCTCTCTCTCTCTCTCTCCCC